GAAATGCTTTGGCGTCGCTTTTCAGGACTTTTCACACTTGGCACACTTGGGCTGAATCCGAAATCGCCCCCTATACAGCCATTTGTAGTGGTGTCCGAAACCATAGTGAATCACCATAGGGGCGATTTCGCATTTAGCCTTGGACTCAAGGCACACGCGGGTTGCCAGATATGCAACAGAAACGAGCGCAATTGACAATGGAAAGCGCTGGAACAAGCCTTACACTAAATGCATCTGAACGGGGTCTCTGAACCTGTTTGTTGGCTGGTTTCCATGACTGCAATAACCTGTGTTTTCTGCTGGCAACCCGGGGTGTGGAAACACTATTAGGAAAATTGGCAGTGGCCGGGATCACACAGACCAAAACATAAACAGACATTCCGACACGGAACGCACATTTCAAAGTAGAATAACTGGCGGTAGCTTTGTTTTTTGGAGAAACGGGTATTTAAACTTAGCATGTTACCTAAAACTGACAACATATTATGGTATTTTTATGCTTTAGTACAGTCAAAAATTACATACAGCACCTTTAAAGGGGACATATCATAAAAATCTGACTTTTTAAGTGCTATAATTGGGTCCCCGGTGCATCTACCAACCCAGTAACTTTGTTTTGGTAAGACTTTCTCCCCAAGCATGTCAAAAAATAAGCCAATCAGATTTCACTCCCCTTCTGACATAGGAAGGGGATCTTATTATAATATTACCGCCCCTTAATCTGCACGTTTCCACCCACGGCGCCGCCATTTGGTTTTCGCAAGTGACAACAGTGTAACCAGTTCTATCACAATGGCAAAAGTTCGTGCAAAGCATGCAAACTGTTCTGTCGTTGGCTGCACAGACGAACACAGAACACTATTTAGAGTCCCGGACTCAGATGAGATAAAAGAGCAGTTGATTCATTTTATTTTCAACGTAAATCCCCCAGAAACAGATGAATCAATGTAACTCCACAAAAACTACATAAATGTATCACTAACCATTCAGATACGTCCAGGTGCATCTAAAAGTTGCAACCTCTTCCTGAGTCTCTCTGTAAGGCTGCACTCTGCTTCTGGTTATTTCTGAGATTTTGGATGAGTGAGATTATTCGTGTGTTTTGTTATTGTATTCTTCTGAATGTGGGCGGGGAGCAGCAGCTCATTTGCATTTAAAGGGACACACACAAAAACTGAGCGTTTTTGCTCACACCCAAAAAGGGGTGAATGTGACAAGCTATAATAAATGATCTGGAGGGTATTTTGAGCTGAAATTTCACAGACACATTCTGTGGGGACACCATAGATTTATATTACATCTTGTGAAAAGGGGCATAATATGTCACCTTTAATGATGTTCTAAATGCCTCATTAGGCAGAGAATGTGGATGACACCGATGGAACAGTGCACTCCAGACCCACCAGTGAACATAGATATTCAATATCTGAGTGAGTCACAGTTCTCTTGAGCTCTTAGTTCATTCATTTCTTTCTGTCAGTCATCCATTTAAGAGTCAAATCTGTTTTTAAGCAGATTAAAAAAGCCTTCAAATGCAAAGAATTATCGTACATCCATTTCTCTTGCAGTAAGGACATGGTTCGGATGATGATGAATAAGATCTTTCAGAGCATCGAGACGGAGCTGAACAGTCTGATAGCTTTAGGTGATAAGATAGACAGCTTCAACTCTCTCTACATGCTGGTGAAGATGAGTCACCACGTCTGGACAGCCGAAAATGTCGATCCCGCCTCATATCTCAGCACAACACTGGGCAATGTGCTGGTCACTGTCAAGAGAAACTTTGATAAATGCATCGTAAGTTGAGCTCATGATAAGCATCTTTTTATCTATGTATTGATGTTGAGACAAGCATCTGAATCTTCTGATGTTTCTGTTGCTCTTTCAGTCGGGCCAGATTCGTCAGATGGAGGAAGTGAAGATTTCAAAGAAGAGTAAAGTGGGCATCCTGCCGTTTGTCACTGGCTTTGAGGAGTTTGCTAAGCTGGCTGAGGCTATTTTCCGAAACGCAGAGCGACGGGGTGATCTGGATAAAGCCTACATCAAACTCATCAGAGCCGTGTTCCATAACGGTGAGGGTCATAACCAACCAGACCTTTCATACATTTATTAAATCTTGAATAGATGTGAGAATACAGGAGAAGCTCTAAATCACTTGAATTGCTACGCTTCAGACATTTTTTGAAATATAAAGAAAAGAAAACATGATAACATGGGAAGTGAGGCATTGAGAACCAGTGTAGTTTTAGTTTTTTTTTATGTAGTTTTAGTATTAGTTTTTTAAGTTGAAGTTGAAGTTTTTCATCTAATATTTATTTATTATTTCAATTACCGGCAATGATTAATGATTAATAGTTTTAGCTTTAATTAACAATAACAACACTTTTGAGAAGCATTTAAGACTCAAGGGTGCTGGTCCATTAATTGAAAATGTGACTATTATTATTCTTCATGTACATCATGAGCATAAACACAATTAAATTATGGGCGGCAAACCACTATAATAATAATAAAATAATAATACGTTTAATTTATATAGAGCCTTTCCCAAGTTCAAGGATGCTTCACAATAAAGAAAGAACAAACAATCAGTTCATACATAGATGGACAATAGACATTTGCCCAGTCCAAGAAATGAGTGATTGCAGTTGCGTATCGCATTACAATTGGAATACAAACAGAAACAATAACAGAAACAAAAACAACATTATTTACAGGCAGTATAGAAGGTGGGTAGTTGAAGCAGAGGTCTGATGCAACAGACTAATGGTACTTAAAGAAACATTGTGACTGTATTAGAGTTATGGAAAATATTTAAGAAAAACATGTCTTTATATACTATACACAATCAGGTTTAGATTTTTAATATTTGCGGTTCTGCTATATCGTTTGTTTTCCACACTCTTGTCTGTTTGTGTATCCATAGTGGAGAAAGTGGCCAATGAAAGCCAGAAGACTCCACGTGATGTGGTGATGATGGAGAACTTCCACCATATCTTCTCAACTCTGTCCAGCCTCAAGATCTCCTGTCTGGAGGCAGAGAGGAAGGAGGCCAAGCAGAAATACACCGAACACCTGCAGTCCTACGTCATCAACTCACTGGGTCAACCGCTGGAGAAACTAAATGTGAGACAAATCTTTATGGAAACCTGGATTGAGCAGTTTTCCAGTACATCTGTGTAAATGAGGAATTTAATAACAAAACTAAAATGTGTTTGGATTATTAATGTAATTGGATTTTCCGCCTTTGTTTATGCTGTCTTCATCTTTGCATTAGAGTGTAATAAGTGTCCTGGTTAATTGTCTTCACATCTTGCAGCACTTCTTTGAGGGTGTAGAGGCTCGTGTAGCCCAGGGTGTGCGAGAAGAAGAAGTGAGCTACCAGCTGGCCTTCAATAAACAGGAATTGCGTAAGGTTATTAAAGAATACCCTGGCAAAGAGGTGAAAAAGGGCCTGGACAACCTCTACAGGAAGGTGGATAAGCACCTGTGTGAGGAGGAGAGTCTGTTACAGGTGAACAAGAGTCAAATAATGAAACCCTAAATGGCTAAATTGAATATGGTAGCATTTATAATCTTTTGAGATTCTTGAGAATGTCAGTTTAAATGTGAACTTTGTTCTGTCCATTAGGTTGTTTGGCACTCCATGCAGGATGAGTTCATTCGGCAATACAAGCACTTTGAGGGCTTGATAAACCGCTGCTACCCGGGGTCTGGAATCACCATGGAGTTCACCATTCAAGACATGCTGGAGTACTTCTCCAGTATCGCTCAGTCCCACTAAAACAGGAAGCTGAATCATAGTGAGAGAGATGGAGAGAATGAGTGCTTAATTTGTACATATATTACAGTGCATTTAAGGGAACTAACACTGAAACCCTGTTTGTAACTTGAGATTCTGTTGTTACTGATTCCATGAGTTTTGTTGAAAACCAACAATTCTTCATATAACTTTAGTTTAGTGAATCGCAAATGACTGAACTTTTTTTTTATTATTACACTCAACACTAAAAATGTGTGTGGCTGATCTTTCATGCACTTGAATGCTGATGAGTATCAAAATATTCTGTAAAGAAAATCACAAAATAAACGGCCTGGAGTCATATGAAAGTAAATAAAGCATACTTTTGAAAGTACATTTTCTTTATTTCGTTATTATTGTAATTGATTGTTGATTATAAAGCAGATAGTTGTCTGTTCACTTCATGCCAATTACAATAGCAATATTAGTGTCCAGACCATGGCATGCTGTTCTGTTGTCTGATTCTGATTGATGTTTCTATTGTTCATAAAAGAATCAACCTGAATCTTAAGTGATTACAATAATGTTGGTCTTCTGTGTTGTTATCGACGTCATAGTTGTGATGTGGACTGAGATATGAGAGGTTTCTGTCCGTCCATTGACAGCTACGCAACTACCACTTTGTCGCTTCAAAAAGTTCAAAAGGAGATCTTAAAACATCCATAAATTGAGCGGTTTAGTCCAAATTTTCTGAAGAGACACGGTCACTGTATATGATTGAATTTAGGCTTTTATTCACATATAAACATTCATTAACTCACATCAGTTGTGGTAGGCAAGCTCAAGCATGTTCACTTAATGTCCAAGAACCAATGAGGTTCATTCTCCTGTGTTACAAGCACGTTTGAGCTTCCACAAGAACCAATGAGGTTTGTTCTCGCGCATCAAGCAGGTTCAGTTGAGGCTCTGTTTATGTTTGCTGATCATGTAAGGCGATCGAGTTTCTTCAGAAAATTTGGACCAAACCTCTCAATTCATATATGGATAAGTTTTGTGAACTTTTTGAAGCGTCACATTGGTAGAGTACAGTCATCAATGGAGGGACAGAAATCTCAAATTTCATCAAAAGCTCTTCATTTGTGTTCCGAATATTGACGAAAGTCTTACGGGTTTGGAACGACATAAGGGCGAGTAATTAATAAAGAGTTTTCATTTTTGGGTAAACTGTCCCTTTAAGAAGTCTAATTTCAAGAGCTCCACCACTAGTGGGAAGTTATGACTAGTTTCCCCCGAAATCTGCTACCCAACCCCCATAGCGCAGCTTTTTCTTCTTCCATCTGAAGTCAGATGAGTTGGTTGCTTCACTGAAGCGATGGATGTGTGTTGATCTATTTCTGTATTTTGAGTCACCGAGCCTCGACAAACGGACGGACTCTTTAATGCATGTGATTCACTATGCCTCCTCGCAAGAAGGAGTACGGGATTAAACGAGCGAGCGGATCCCTTATCCACTTCAGACCGTCCGTGAGCGCGACCACCGTGCGAAGACACTCTGCCGTCGTGCCTTCGGTGCTAACGTTCGCCGTGATCGTGGCATCCGGAGGCCTGTTGCTCATGATAGAGAAGGGAATGTTGAACAGCGTGCAGACTCCGCCGCCACGAGCCAACGGGAAGAAAGTGGAGTACCGAATGAGGAGTAGCGACGCAGCTGTGGACGTGGAGTCTCAGGTAATGTAGACGAACAGAGACGCAAGTTCGTTAGAATGTGAATGAACACAGCGACGTGTTTTGTGAAATTCATCAACATTTTTGTATGTTTGCATGTAATAATCAGACTTTCTTTGAGTTTCGCGAGTCTGGACATCAAGGAATTTTCACGTTAACTCCGGCTGCGTCTCAAAAGTCAAAACCTAATGAGCTGCATACCTAGACATTGGGGGATGGCAGTTTTGAGACAGGTCATATACGGTGTCAAAAAATATTACTTTGACCCTTTACCCACACAAAGTATGAATATATTTGCTTTACAAAACTATAAATGTACGACAAAGTGAGCATTTAAAAGAAATAACGCACAAACACACTTTTCAGTCGAGTTTGAAGTTTGTTAGGTTTCATTTGATGTTAGTTAGTTTACCTGTTAAAACCCCAATTGATCCTAAAATGTTCTTTATTTGCCCAGCCCAGCTAGTGCACTATTCTCGAGTAACTAGATAGAAAAGTTGCAATTCAAGGGGAATAAAAACATTCAGACACTAGTCAATGTGTAATCCTCTCGAGCCATTTTTTGCTTTTTTCAGAGGAAAATTTCTCAACATCTTTTCCTCTGGCATTATAGCAGTTTCTTCTGTAACAAGACAGTAGAGTAAAAGTAGTAATTCTAATGCGTAAAGTCCGATTAATACTATTTATATTCGATTAATCCTATTATTCTGTCCTATTATTACTCATCTGGTGGATAAGATGGATTTGGTTAAACTTACCCAGCTAACAATGACCTGGCGGTCCACCAGCGTTTTTTGGGCGGCACAAAGTCAGCGGCTTGACACGGTCGGACCTCCGGCGGCACACCATTGGCAAAACGACCAATCTGAAAATGCGGTCGGTCCGCCAGCGTTTTTTGGGTGGCACGCCACCGGCGGCTTTCCGCGGCTGGGCCAACGTCGGCACACCAGTGGCAAGCCGATAGTCGGTCCAGTGTTGCTGAGCACTTACAGAACATCTTTAATTTATAAATGTATATTTATTTTTAATTTATTTTTTACAGTTAAAAAGAATCTGAAAGCACTGAATAAAAAAAATGTGAAACTGGCAAGTAGCTATATCAAAAGCAAAGTGTTGGTGGTATAAAAAATACTGCCTATAAGCATTTTTAGCACGCGTTCAAATGAAATGGCTTGAGTGTTCGTAAAAACAATAATAAAAAAATCTGATATTATAAAAGTGCCACAATTGTCCCACTATCACGTGCTGGAGTGGTAATTTGCACCTATGAACGGGGCATATAACTTCAAAATAAGTTTTAAATTCATGATTTAATAATGAGATTTTTATTCAAGTAAGGTTCTAATTCTAGATGTATATGTTTGTAAATGCTGCGTGACTTTGACGCGTTTTAATGGACGTGCGCGTGAATATTCGAGTCGCCTTCAAACACTGGAGCAGAGATGAGTTACCATGGAAACGGCGCAGGACGCGTCACCAGTGCAACAGACAAGCAGCAAAACTCCGACTCTCGCTGTTGATTTCACTGCTTTCAGGTGAGTTTAGTCTCTAAAATCACACACATAATACACACAACTGTTCTTGACACTTCTCTTACTTGTAATTGACACGCTTCTGTTGAATATTTACTTTATAGAAATGGTTTACTGTCTTCGAGAAAGTCCGTTAGCATCTCAACCGTTTTCAGAAGAGGTAACGTTAGTGCTAACGTTGTTAGGCTAACGTTATAGCTTGCTTTTGTTTATGAAGGTTTGGGCTTTTAATCACATCTTATGTGTAGATGAGAGGTTTTGATAGTTTTGTAAAGATTTTGCTTGGAAGTGAGCTAATTTATTTAACATAAACGTATGTATTTAACATAAAAGTGCTGTTAATCGATGACGTCACTTACACGACTGACACTAGCTCAATGGTTAATAAATATTGATAAAAATTGTTCTGTGATTTCAGCAGCAACAAAATAATCCCTCTACAACAGAGGAAAAGTTCCACTACTTCAACATTTCTGAAGAAAGCTGCTGCTGGAGAAGTGGGAAACACAGGTGAAGTGAGGAAGCTCTTTAAATAATCTCATATCAATTTTTTCACTATATTTTTCACCTATATCACCATGCATCTGTTCTCATTTTTTAAATTTAATTTATTTTAAGGTTTTGACATCCAAATGTAAGTGACACTGTTTGACCAATATTAACCCTCATTTTGTGTTTGGGTCATTTTGACCCAGAGAAGATTGTATTTTTCCCTAAAATACTAGTTAATGTCATCGCATTGGACTGAAACTTGGTGACTTTGTTCACAAAGGATATAATTAAGTTATATATCTATGCACAAACTGGTTTTAGTCCGCAGTGACCCTGTTTCAAAAAAATCTTTCTTTCATGTTCTTAGTTTCATCACAGTTTTCAGACAAAATATTATGACATTGTGTTTTGGGACTAAAATGTAAAAATATAGATGTTATAGCACAGACACATATAAATGCTTCACAGTGTCTTGCTTGGCATTCATTTTGTAGCAGCACAATGGCGAAGAAGCTCTCTGTGCATGATGTTCTTCATCAGATCATTGATCGAGACACCAGTGAGGAGGAGGCGATGCAGGATGAATCTTGCAGTGAAGGAGCATTAGAAAGATGTTTTAGAAGAAGCCACCACTGAGCTACAGACCTTGAAACCACTGATGAGCAGCATCTTCTGATGATGAGGGCCAGCTGATGCTACGGTTACATTCTGGTCGAAAGATGTAAGTTTGTCCTGGTCTTCATCCCCACGAGGCAAGGTAGTTTTTCTTCTGAGATTCATCCTCACTAGAATCTCGATCAATGATCTGATGAAGAACATCATGCACAGAGAGCTTCTTCGCCATTGTGCTGCTACAAAATAAATGACAAGCAAGATACTGTGAATCATTTATATGTGTCTGTGCTATAACATCTATATCTGTAAATTTTCATCTTTTTCTGTGTGAGAACATCTAGTCCCAAAACACAATGTCATAATATTTAGTCTGAAAACTGTGATGAAACAAAGAACATGAAAGATTCTTTTGAAACAGGGTCACTGCAGACTAAAGCCAGTTTGCGTGTGTGTGTGTGTGTGTGTGTGTGTGTGTGTGTGTGTGTGTGTGTGTGTGTGAGTGTGAGAGTGTATGTCAGATGGATGAATGGATATTAGATGCAGTTCAGGGTAGGATCAAGTTGCTTTCTGTGGAAAAGAATGTGTAATACTCAAAATAGTTTGTGTGTTTTAATGTGTGTGTTTGTTTGGGAAGCGCATTTGCATGTATCGACACATGCACAGATCCAAGGGCTCAATGTTTGCAAGCACACATGTACATATGTGTACATGCAGATGTTCATATTGTATTTAATATTTTCAAAATTATTTATAAATAATGCTTTTTTTACAAAGAAAATGAGATGCCTACTCTTAGATAAATGAGGCCTATGATTAATCAGATGCAAACAGAATTATAAAACCAGTACTAATTAAAAGAGAACAAGTTGACAAAAAGATTGAATCCAATATTGGGTGATAATATGCATAACAAGTGATTTATAAGCTATTTCTTTAAAGGCCGGTCATTTTTTACCAGGAAGTGTTATAGGGGTTTGAACACAACATAATGGATAAGTAAACCTAAAAACATAAATTCTGTTATCCTAATTAAGAAATCATTTTCTGTATATTCTTTCTCTTTTCTGCGATTCACTTCTGCTGTAGCTTCTTTCCTTTTAATAAACCTGTTATTGTATAATATTGTTGGCTCTGTAACAAATGGTTTGTTGTGTTCCTAGATCTTCCATGCTGATGCCCTGCACCGTAGCAGAGTTGAGCTGATCATCATCTCTAAGGCACCATCAACCATACATGACTAGTAAGTAAAACTAAACCAAAGACAAATTTCCACTTGTGGACAAAGGAACTAAACTAAAACTTCAAACATACACTAATGTTAAACACACTAATGTTGTTGGTACAATTTTTTTATGTTTTGAAAGAAGTCTCTTATGCTCACCAAGACTGCATTTATTTAATTAAAAATACAGTAAAAACAATAATATTGTGAAATAATATTAAAACATTTAAATAATTGTTTTCTATGGAGAAGCATCAAATTATCCTTCAGAAATCATTCTAATATTATAATTTGATGAAACATTTATGATTATTATCAGTGTTGAAATCAGTTGTGCTTGTCATATCTTTTCTTCCTTAAGCAGTAATGACCACTGACGACTTGAATTACATAAAACGAACTGTTTACTGAAGTTTACAAACAGGATTACAAATGAATACAGCGCACACACATGGATGTCAATCTCATCACTCTTCTCTCTATTCTATCTGCGCGCTCTCGCCCTCTATGCATTTTGGGTAGACTTTTCTTAAAGCTGAACAACCTTGTAAATGACAACACTGTTTCTGTTATTATTAAAGATATTTAATTAAACATTTCTATTCGAATTAATTCACAACAGTGCTGCTTCATATTTTTGTGTTTTTCAGGATTATTTGATGAATAGAAAGGAAAAAAGCAGCATTTATTTGAAACAGAAATCTTTACTCTCTCTTCTGGTCAATTTAATGCATCCTTGCTGAATAAAAATATGAATTTATTTAATTTTTTTAATTCTATTGAACCCAAACTTTTGAACAGTAGTATAAACTACCATTTACATATGTTGGGTCTATTTAACAATTAATTCTGGAGAGAGAAAAAAGAAAATGGAATAAATTGTTACACTGGTTTACACAAAAATATTAATCAGCACAACTGTTTTTAACATTGATAATACTCAGAAATGTTTAGGACGTTTGCATTGTAATAATGTATGGTGTTCAAATATAAAAATGCTGACTCGTTAGTCATGTTTTCTCATTAAAATCAGACAAGTTCCTATTAATTCAATTGAATGTGAGGGAATAACTCTAGAATAACCTTCCTGATAATGTTTGGGGCCCAGAAACACAATCCTAATTTAAATCTAGATTAAAGACGCATCTCTTTATCCAAGCATTCAATTAACACATCTCATAATCTTGCACTATAAGACTATAAAATAGTAAAAAGTGCACATGATCATCTTTTGCCTGAAATATTACAGCAGCTATGCTAATCTTTCTCCTGTTGTTTCCCTGTTTCTATCTCAGGATGCTCGGCAAGTTTACTAGATATTACAGCAGCTCCAGTTTGGATCCAGCCTCACTTGTGAAGACTTCTAATGACACCAACACTCTTGAAGACTTCAGATGATGACAACTATAGATGGACATAAAAAACTGCCAGATATTAACCTTATATTGCAATGGCCCGGTTTCACAGACAATCTGCAAACTTGCCCTTTTGAAATGTTGAAGGATAGCAAAAATATGTCTGTTTAAAGCCTGGAACACACCAAGCCGACGCTGACGAACTAGCGCCGATGAAAGCCGACTGTGTTGTCGCCTCTCGTCGGGGTAAAAAGCTGCACTTGAACACACCGAGAGAACTACAGCCGACTGTCAGCTAGAATGCGCGTTCTGCGCCTGCGTGTAAATGAGACAATTAACTGTCTATTTCTGCAGATATATTCTCTATATTCGTCATTCAAAAAGGGAAACCGACGCTGTCGGCTGCAGATACACAAACCATAAACAAAGCAGTGCGTGCTTACCGTTTTAAATATCAATCCTGCTAAACACTTTCTTTATTCCACTCCGCTCGTGTTAATATTGAAATATTCAAAGAAGTTTTGACTTCTTTGCTCGCTGTTTTGCTATTATTCTCGTGCATTGACTCTTTCACTAAGCTGAACAGCCAATCAGAGTTCCCTCTTTCACCGACGGCCCGACGCCGATTCAACATGTCGAATCGGCCGAAACAAAGCCGACGAGGACCAATTTCAGCCGACGGCACGGAACCGTGCGGAACACACAGAGGAAACTCAGTCGGACGACGCACAATAACTGCCCGACGGCCGACCGTCGGCTTGGTGTGTTCCAGGCTTAACTGAACATGACTTTAAACTCATGACTTGTATCTTATGGACTTTACTTTGTTGCCAGAAGATGCTCTCCAGTGAGTAGCAGTCGCCTCTGGCTGATTAAATTATATTTTGTGATTGTAACCATGAACATGCATTTTCTGTAAAGCTTCTTTGAAACGATTTGTGTTGTGAAGAGCACTATATGGTTTTACTATGGTAAAACTACCAACCATGTTATTTTTTTTCAAAACCATGGTTCAACTAGTAATATTGCTGTAATAATTGCTGTAAAATTATGGTAATCATGACTATAACCATAGGTTTTTAAACCTTGGTTGTTGTGAAAATGCTGCAAATGCTGTGGTAAAACCATATGGTTAATTTTCATATGGGTACTACAAATATACTTAAATTATCCTATAATGTACTTGACTAATAGTCACGTTGAGTAAAATAATCTGATAAATATAAATGTGTTGTTAATTTAATCTGTCCACTGAAAATTAATCTAATAAAAATATATTTGCAACTGCTATTGAGACTGGTGTACATTGCTTATTTTTTTTTATCCATTATAGTGTAAGGGCATTTTGGTTAGCATGAGTAACTGATTATAAACCATGGACCGACCGTGGTCCGCCAGAAAACACTTATTATAAACCAGCGGCACGATAGCGGACCACCGTCGGGAAAGCGGCGTCTGCCGCTGGAGGTCCGCTAGAATAACGATGAGCAAAACGCCAGTGATCCGCCGGCGGCGTCCGCCAGTGGGCCGCCGACTTTGCCACCGGTGGTCCACCACTGGACCGCTGGACTCATGTTAGCTGGGTAGCATGTGGAAAGCATCTTTGATGGTACGAAGAAACTCCATATTTCGTTCCAGAAAATATTAAACAACTGCTTACCTTCAAGCCAAGATATGAAATGGAAACTTTGGCCAATTCTTTGAAGTTAAGATTCCTGCTGTGCACTTGACAGAAGCGTACAATCACATGACATTTCAGTTACCTTCTCTAATCTCCTCAAGCACTGATATGAAATCCAGACTATTAGATTGTGATGTTGATTAGAGTAATCGGAAGATATTGTAAAATTAATATACATGGTATTCAATGCTTATAATAATTTTAATGTTGATTTTTTGAACATTGAAAGTGAACACACTCATTCATATATTTAGCAAGATTTTTAATGTTTACTTGTGCTTATATCCTAAAAAATGATTCCTGAATAAGCCTTTCAGTGCAGGATATGATCTAATGATGATGTCAGGCCATCCAGTGGAATGTCCAGAGTAAATGTAATTTTGTAAAAGAACATGTTGGTATACTATACACAACATCACAAAACAAATTTAACCTTCCCTCCCCCTCGAAACAGCATCTGTTCTCTCTCAGAGGAGGGTGAAACTAAATATCCTCCACAGCAAAATTGGAATAGTATTTTAAAAAATTTGTATAATTATTACAGATTGAAAATTTGACACTTTGTGCATTCAAGTTTTTATGTCTTTATTATATGCTAAAGTTATATGTGCCTCTTTCCCCCAGATTGTACAGGAGATCCGTAATCGCACCATAAGATCGATGTGCGGTCAGAAGAACACGGCTCACAGTGTGTGGTCTCTCAGTCCACTGCAGAGGAAGACTCTCCTCCAGCACATACTGGTGAACGACGAGCATCATTTCCTGTACTGCTACGTCCCCAAAGTGGCCTGTTCCAACTGGAAACGAGTGCTGAAAGTACTGAGTGGCGCTCTAGCCAACGTGGACGTCAAAGTGAAGATGGATCATCGTGCTGATTTACTCTTCCTGTCTGACTTTTCGCCAGAAGAGATTCGTCATCGATTACGGCATTATTTTAAATTCATGTTTGTGCGGGAGCCGATGGCCCGCTTGCTTTCTGCCTATCGGAACAAGTTTGGCGAAATCGAGGCATATCAGCGTAAATATGGTGCAGAGATTATACGGCGCTATAGAAAAGGCTACGCAAAGGATAAAAAAATAGCGGGAAATGACGTGACATTCACAGAGTTTGTACGTTATTTACTTGACGAAGACCCAGAGAGGATGAATGAACACTGGATGCCCATCTACAACCTGTGCCAACCCTGTGCCATAGAATATGACTTCATTGGCTCGTACGAAAGGCTGGAGAGCGATGCGGCTTACGTTCTGGAACGTGTCGGAGCACCGCAACACATAGGTTTTCCTGAACGACAGACGTGGTACAAACCCGTCACCAAAGAAACGCTACATTATTACCTTTGCACTGTGCCACAGAAGTTCCTCAAAGATCTTCTGCCCAAATATATTCTGGACTTTTCTCTGTTCGGCTATCCTTTACCCAACACAACCACTGAGTACTGTAGGCATTAACAAAGACATTGGTTTATACCTGCTTTATAAGACTGTCTATAATCTTTCAATATGTTAATATTTAAAAAAAAAAAATCTTTTTTTTTTTTTTTACCTGTACATAATTTAAAATATATTTGAATAAAACCCTCAGTACAGAGTTTTTGAGAGCTATTTAAGTTCAAACCACTATTTAAAACTGGAAAAGCTCAAAGAGATTTTTTTTAAATAATGAGATGCAGTAATATGTCCATATTAATGGGCATAAAATGAATAACATTGTGCTGTGCGCAAGACTATTATGTGTTTTATATCAGTAAGCAGATATGCTTCCACCATTTTCACTTGTCAATTCAATATTCTATTTTCCTTTATGTACTTAGATAATCATTGTTACTTCTGCTGTCACCCATATTTTAAGACGTTTTCTTAGTTGATGTGTTTAATCCTTTTACAAAAATGAAATGTGATGCTCAAATCGAGAAAATTTGTTGTGAGGCAATTCCTGTTTGTATGTAGTTAATTGTTATGCGAGTGAAGTGTGTTGTTTCATACGACCAAAACAAATATTTCTGACCACAAACTTGAACCCTTTCCATCTGCTGCTTCCTCTGAAAAGATGAGGCTCTGAGTGAATCCCTTAAGAGGTTCTAAAGAATGCAGTTTCACATCCAAAAGCAGAAGTACTGTACAATAAGGAAATAAAAAAAAATCTTTGAAATCCAAAGGCTGGGATTCTGTTTTTTTCTTTTCTTGGACGGAGCATAATATTTATTGTAACAGAACAGCTAATAACAAGCTAATTGTGTTTTGAATCCCACAGGCAAAATAAAAAAAAATCTAATGAAAGCAGTAAGTGAAAGCTCAGTTCACACCCAAAGGCCTTAACATAGAAAATGTATTCTGGAAAAATACACGAGTATACTAAATGTAAATTTAAGCGCCGTTCATGCCAAGAGCTATAACAATAAACACATTTTTAAAAGTCGTCAAAGAATAGCACAATCTAAACCACAACTATATCAACAATGTTGTTGGAAAGCTTTATATTTCAGCTGATGGAACAATAAAAATATTGACAGCCAATCAGAATCCATCTGGCTTTGAAGAGCTCGAGCATTTAAAGGGGCAGACGACATACTTGCAGTGTGTGCTCACAATAACAGAACATTATCATCGGTTGGTATTGATGCTAACATAGCTATAGTTCTTGCTGTGTGAACGGGCCTTTATAATGATGTTTGTTTGTCCATGGACTCCATGCGATGCTAGGATGTTATGAGTGGTTGTCAGAGTAGCCAACAGTTTTTGGTTTCCAGAATGTTCTGGGAATATTAGTTTTTGTAACAAAATAACCAACAAAGTTCCTGAAATATTATTGTTTGGTTCCCCAGACCTATGCGAGTAGTTTTTAGTGCATTGCCAAGGAGTGGTTAGAGGCCATCCACACAGAAAATGTGATTGCATTTTCATTGATTTCCATGTCACGTCTAGACGGATGTATTCAACTAGCGTCTCGTGCATGACGCCATTCTAAAAACGCAGTGCTAAAGATTTCTTTAAAGTTTAACTAAAAAAAAAAAAAAAAAAAAAAACCCCGAATAAAAACAGATTGAGACCATGTTTTCTCTCATTCCACTGCGTAAACTGATGCAAAAACACATTCTGTGTGACATTCAGATGTCATTAGATGCTTAATTCAAGTCAAGAGCCGAGACCTCAAGACTCAATGACATACTGGTTGATTCATTCCTCTTAAGGCTGGGATTGTTTTATTGCTAGCCCTTAAGAAAAGTTTGATCATTTCACATAGCATACTTTTCAACAAACCGCGTGATTTGAAGTGTCATTCTAGTCTGTAGCAAATGGTCCAGAATTAGTTTATACTTGGTGTTTATGAGCCATAGCATGGCTTAGCAAGCACCACTATTAAATATCAAAATAAGATGAAACATTCAAAATGGGGGGAAATGTTCAGCACATCTATCTTGTTAAGTTTACAGGGTTCACATGCTGTTATCAAGATCAAATAAAAGCTAAAAGATATAACTACAATTCAAGAAGGCATGTTGAATAAATTTACTTGGATGGATTTTTTTCTCTCCTATTATAATAAAAGAAAAAGAACAGTGATTGATTTATAGAATTTCACTCTGATATCCAGAGGCAGAAAAAAGAATTCCATGAAACAGTACACAGAGCAGACAATGACAGATTATATTAAAAAACTATGCATGTTTATTAATAAGTTAACCAGTCAACATAAATTCTATTATACATACATAAACATAAAACAGGTTGGAGTGGTAGTGTGATATTAACACAGTCCTGAGTAACATGGCAAAATCCACTTTCTGAAGACCTCTTTGGTCACTTTTATATTTCACTTCAGGCATATTTTAGAACAGTTTTAATCTTTAGTTTAACTTGATATAAAAAGGTCTGCCATGTAAAGATGACAAGCTGCCTCATAAGTCCAAAACTATTAAGAACAATAATGACACTACGACTACTGCAATAAAAAAATCATTTCATGTTACAAAATGTATATCATCAACACTGCTCTACACATTGGCTTTGGTGGCATAATTTTACCTTTGACCTTAAATAAATGTACAAGTACTTCGCTTTTAGAAGCCCAAGAAAATATCTTCTGGACTAATCTCAGAGACATTTCTGACTCAACACAAAGTTTCTTCAGAATTGATTAAACAAGAATCTTTCACGCGACATCCCTGTTTTATGTCAGCGCAAATGTGACAGGCTGCGTGAACCATTTCCTTCGCCGCTACTCCTTAAAGCTCACACTTCTGAAATGTGAAGTTAAACAAGGTTATTTTAAATCATACAAGCATGGTTATGAAGATCACACAAGAAATGATGTCTGCTGCAGTTTCCCAAGGCAATCCTCACTTTTCTGACGTCTTGTCTACGGAGCGCTCTGGTGTGCGGAGGATGGAGCGCTCAGGAGAAGCAGGCCGGGGACTGAGAGAGGTGCTGAGAGGAGAAGAGCTTCGCAGTGAAGAGAAAGATAAGCCCTGTCTGCGCATTTCCTGCACAGCTCTCTCCCTACCACGGAAAAACACTTGCACGCATTAATCAACATTTCACAAACCAACATAGCAAGATCATAGCAGGCACATACACAAAAAAAAACTCTAAATACATTTGAAGTTCTTTCAATACTGAAACGTATTTACTAAAAAAATTGAGTGTCATTAAAATGTTTTTATTTTAACCTATTATTTGCCTCATTCAGACTGATGCTTATTAGGGTATTGTGCCTTTAACAACATGCTCATCTTTTATTTGTCTATGTTCATGGAAGACTATGTAGTAGTAGATTCTGGATAAATTGAGAATCACAATTTTTTGCTTTCAAAACGATTCTGAACAGACAACTAAACAAAAAATAACATTTGCAGTCTATTTAAAATGTTTGATGAATCTGAATACAAAAAAAAATTTGGTTTGAATGAATGTTTCAATGACTAGCTCATAAATACTTCATTGCTTCTTTACTGGATGAATCAGCTTCTTTTTTTTTTTTTGATGAATCTTTTGAATGATTAAATGACAAATAAATCTTTTAGCAGCACCTGGTGGCGTAACGATGTAATCGACACCACTCTAATTTGATCATGTCCGTAGACATCAGGGTTTATAGAGCTATACACTTTTATCACAGGTCTTTTGTGATAATATGAATATTTGTAACAGAAATAATGATACTGTGTGGTTGAAAACACTGAAGCTGTTCTCTTACGAGAGTATCTCTCGTACTGCGTAATAGCTTACGCTAGGGGAAAACCTCTTTTCCACGAGATATTGAAGCCAAAAATTATCCTTAATTTTTTATTAATGTAAAACGCTTTGCAGCAGCAAGCAAACACAGGCGATACAGCTCGCACGCCTATTGGCTGCTCTTGCGGCAAATGCAGCAGCCTATCGAGAGAGACTCTGCGTGACGTAATGACCAATGGGGGCAACTCGCGCCCATATCGTCACGTCCCGCCAGAAAGGGCGTGGTCTCACTCTATAAATATGCTCGTTAGGCTGGTACAAGCTGATTTTCATCTCTTCAGCGAAGCACACGCATCGCTGGATCCGGAGTGAGAAGCCGCGCCGTCGAAGCAAGCCTTTCAGCGGGACGAACTCTGGAGTCGCTGGCCTCGCCGCCTTCAACTGCCGTACCTGCTGCGCTTTCCGGCGTTCTATATCCTTTTATATCACTTTGTATCCTTACTCTGCTGAGAGTGTTTGCTCGCTTACTTGACGCGACTCACACTTCTCATCACAAAAGAGCTGCATCTTTTTAAAGATGCCATCCTGTGGCTCGTGCCGCGCCCCACTCAGCGACGGGGACCGTCACGTCATCTGTGTGTCCTGCCTGGGTGAGGATCACGCGGACATCGCGCTCGCTGACGGCGGATGCCCTCATTGCGAGCTTTTGCCTATGGTGACTCTGAGGACTCGCCTGGCATCATTCTCCGAGCCTTCACCACAGCCCGCCGTGGTGCCGCGCCGCAAGAAGCGCCGCGCCCAGCGCGCTCCCGAGCTTTCTCCAGCCCGCCAAAGCTCGCCGGTTCGCCCGCCAGCTTCGCCGGCTTCGCTCGAGTCGCTCACTGACGGACAACGGCCGCCGCCTGCCGCCGCGTCCGTCCACGAGTTCGACGAACCCACCGAGGCGTGTTCTCTTCTGGCATCTGATAGCGAGGATTGGGCGAGCTCCGTGGACCTCCCCTCCGCTAGCGTTTCCCGCCAAACCACTGGTAAGAGAGCCGGCATTGAGACTGAGCTGATGCGTCTGCTCTCTCAGGCCGTGGAAAGCATCGGCCTCGACTGGGAGGCGCCCGCGCAACCACCGTGCGAGTCGTCAGGGAAACGGGCCACCGCGAGCCCTAAAACCGCGGCTAGCTTTCTTTACGTTATAAGAAATCTACCCCGCCCCCCATGGGCGTGCGTCACCGGCAAATGAGAAAAGAGTGTGTTTTAGTCCCCGCCGAGGCCGGACTAATCTCCATTTCTCAAACATTTCTCAGCTCCTAGTTTGAGCGGCTGAAAATGTCATTATTGCAGCAATGAGCCTGTTGTATA